CTAAGTTAGCTTTAACCGGATCAGTCCCGAGTCACCCAGCCCTGATTGCAGTAAGTTAAACTGGTTTGAGCCCGGGATCCAATCGAAAAGCCGGTAGTTGGTCAGCAGTTAACTTTAAACCTCCAAAGATGTGCTAACTTCAGTGGAATTTTGGTCCTTACTTTCTTCGTGGGATGAGTGAGACGGGGTCGCTGGTCGTCACCTTATGGAACTTAACGATCGCTATTTGTCCATTTTACCTGGACACTCCTGATTGCTGCATTCCCTGCTAGAACTGTCTGGTCCCAATGCACTGCAGTCTTCTCCATCATGTGATGGTGGTGGATTGGTACACGTTCTTTTACGCGTCTGTTCTCCACCCCCACAAGTCTTTGAGCACTCACCGTACGGACCCCAATCTGAATAACCACCGTTCACTACGAGAATGGATAATAGTATAGATAACAAAAAATACGTTTACCTGCAGGCATCCCTTTCTAAGTTCCCATAATAATAATGTTATTTACAAAGAGCCAAATTTTCTAACTGCCCATGGCGCCCATTACAATAAAAATAGGGAAAAGATATAAAAAATAATAATAAAAAATGACTAAAAAAGCAGGTCACAGTTAAAACTATTCAATGATGAAAATTAAAATAGCTTTTACAAAAAAAATTAGGTTCAATGTCTGTTGGAAGAAGAGAAGGAAATTCAGGTAATTTTAATATGTCTTGATTATGGCAATAGAATCCCATCACCTTAACTCATACGGAGGAAAGCTTCACAACCCTTCTTCGTAGAACACTAGCCAAAGGTTTCGGATTTTGTATATCTTTTAGCCTAGCGCAGGAGTCTTACTTTTAGCCTAGCTCTTCACTATCCTCTCCCGACCATACTGATCAAATGATTTTCCTTTGTATGTTTTTTAGCCTAGAACGTAGTCTACACTGTAGCTCCTTACAATCCTCTCGCAGCCACACCGGGCGAAGGATCTTTCTGTGTATGTTTTATAGCCTAGCTCTGGAGTCT